AGGCAAGCAAAGCTGTACAGTTACAAAATACTACTTAAGTAGGTAGTTATGATAATATAATAAAATAATATACAGTTGAATTAGGATCAACTTATCCATTTAGTTTTTAGCATTATTGATTGATTACTTTTTATACGTAAATAATATGAGATGTATTCGCCCAATTTCATTTAAGTTGATGAAGGACTGGTAGTAGAATTCTACGTTTCCATTGCATTTCACATAGTCTTGCTTTCCCAAAAGTTGTTCTCATCCAGGCACCAGTCGACTGCCGTTTCGAGCTCGTATCGGTCTTATCAACACCCCCAGCGGGAGTCGAACCGTGACAGTGCAGAATGTGAGCTTGACATGCTAATGACTCGGCCAAATTGCCATGAGTGTCTATGGGTCACAGGTCAGATGTGAATTTCAAGGAAGGCCAGGCCTTTTCCCATATCACATTCTTTGGTGGGATTGCGGATTGTCGATTAAGCAAATGTATATTTGCTATAACAATCGACTACGTTACTTATTTATCGTAGGCAAGTAGAGTTTCGAGATTAGCGGTAAATCAGTACTATGAGAGGTATTCTACTAACAGTTCTTCATCACCTTAAACGAAATAGGATGAATACATCTCGTATTACCGATTAATTTTTAGCAAAAAAACGAATATTGAAATTACAATGTAGGTGGGATAAGAGCACTCACCCCGATTCATATCGAGGAGATCACAGAGCAGCATCACGAGATGGTTAGCGGCTTTGGCCATAGGGAAGATGGGTCCGGGTACTTGATGGCCTGAAATATCGAGGGGCCCATCATTGACGCGTAAGGCGAACAGGGGACTGGTGGCTCTGCGCCTAAGCATAGTAAAGTCACTCGATATTTCACCAAACTAGGCGAGTTTCGTGTGGAAATGATGCATTGGGAGGAGGGTGAATAATAAATTAAAAAATGAGTTGGCATCCAGTGCGATCAGGAGAGCCAGACAATTACTAAATTGCGACACTACTTATTATTTGTGAAGAAATAAACATATTTGCAAACAAGATGTCAATCCGCCAGACCGATTTCAGCTGTGTGATTCGTGCCCTGCCGAGCCGACAGCTCATCTTCAGGATGTCTAAGCAAGGCTAAAGCTCTTATTTCCTGATGTCCACATGAAGAGGTCTGGCAACAAAAGAATAAAAATAGTGATTGCCTCTTTGTGCGTATTTTTTAAGCAATAGCAGATCAAATGCAATGTAAACCATCCAGGGGATTATGGTAAGAGGGTGCAATTATGCCATAAGAGATTGCGAACTAATCTTTTAAGAGGAAAAGAAGTTCATAGAGGATACAATCAAAACTAACTGAGCAGACAGAAATACGCTTAGAACAGTAAACCTAGGACGACGATTTCTATTCGGGGGAATGGACAAGGGTATCATCAAAAAAGATAAAGATGAAAAAGGACCTAATGAGAAAGGTATCCCACAAGAAGGTGAATGGAGAGTTGACCGCAAGACCAACGCTAGCAGCTAAAACATGGGACGCTAGGGGTGGCAAAACACCACGTGACCCAAATGGAGCACGAAGAATTCACAAGTGGTTTATGTCTGACTCCATACCAATGATTTAGGCATTCCTGTTATGTGAAGAAAGCAATTGAGGTGGGATTATGCAAATCATAGACAATTTGAAAGCAACTGTGGAAAACAACAGCTCCAGCTCTAGTATCCGCGACACCGAAATGAGCTGAGACAATGTGAATGGGTGTTGCCTTAATTTGGGTCAGATCGTAGAGAAAATTCTCTAGATTATGTCTGAATGAAGCAGTGGTAGGATAAGACGTCAGGGAAATTCGTGTCCACTAGGCAATTTCCAGCTTCGGCCTCCACAATCAATTTGTTCCTAGGCGTTGTCAAACCGGTATCAGAGATTAGGATGTCTTTGATAATGACCAACTCAAATATCGAGAAGTAAAGGGAACTTTATGAAAAAGTAAGATGACGCATAATAAGGATATTTTATGATTTGACTCAAGACAACTTGTACGAAGCTGCGGACCCAATTACAAGAGAAAAGAGGTGGGAAAAAGACCCGAATGAAGAAAGACGCCGAGAACATAGGTACACGCTTGAGCACCTGCAGCGAAGAAGCTGATGAGTGGAGAAATATCGCAATGCGAACAGGATGGACTGAAGTGGAGTTGATCAAAGGCAGAAAGTCCGTTTTGCCGATACAGCTCAAATAG